GCTCCTGCAAGCTCCGGGAGCAATGGCAAAGGTGCGCTCACCTTCGCCATCGCTCTCGGACCCTTTCTGGGGGCTGGGGGAAGCTCTGGCTTCCCCCACCTCCAGCCCCGCAAGCTCTGGGAGTGATGGCGAAGGTGCGCTCACCTTTGCCATCGCTCTCGGACCCTTTCTGGGGGCTGGGGGAAGCTCTGGCTTCCCCCACCCCCAGTCCCGCAAGCTCCGGGATCCTCTCTGGCTCCCATTCTGGGGGCTGGGGTCGGGGGAAGCTCGGGCTTCTCCCGCCCCAGCCCCGCGTCTGGGGGGGGAATAATTTTTTTCCCTTTATTTCCCCCCAAAATCTAGGTGCGTCCTATGGGCCGGTGCGTCCTATAGGGCGAAAAATACGGTAGTCAATATAGGCACAGAGTTAATTTTTAAAACATTTTCTAATTGTGGTGTGCCTCGAGATTTTTTTCATGAAACAAGTGTGCCTTTGCCCAAAAAAGGTTGGGAAACACTGGTCTAAAGAAACAGCTTCTGTCCCTTTAAAGCACCTTTGAGTCAGCAGCAGATGAGATGGAAGGGTCGAGATTGATATTAATAAATTAGGATAAGGTACAATGTCAATGTCGGTTAATGAGTCATTCATTAGAGCGGTCCAATTTCCTAGGACATATCTCTACAGGAGTAACGTGCGAGCAGAGAGCGGGGAAGGGGGGACAGAAATATAGGGCATCATGACACTCCATGCAGCGCGAGACGAACTGCTCGCCCGTCGTTTCTTGGTGCAGAGCACAGCGAAGAGGCCTTAGCCATGAAAAGCACTGTGGTGCAGCAACTGAAAACGCAGGCGAAGCATTTCCGAGAGCTGGAGCTGTTCAACTGCCTCAGAATATGGCAGATTCTGGAGCTTGAGCAGAAAGTTAGTACAGTGGTACCTCGGGTTAAGAACTTAATTCATTTCGGAGGTCCGTTCTTAACCTGAAACTGTTTTTAACACTTTAGCAAATGGGGCCTCCTGCTGCCACCGCACAATTTCTGTTCTCATCCTCAAGCAGAGTTCTTAACCCAAGGTACTCTTTCTGGGTTAGTGGAGTCTGTAACCTGAAGCATCTGTAACCTGAAGCGTCTGTAAACCAAGGTACCACTGTACCTTTCTTCCCCAAAAAAGGCACCTGGGGACAAGTTGGATGCAAAAAAAGGCTGTGCCCCCCCCCCACCCACCCATCCCTGACGTCAGGGAGCCCAGAGCTGGCCCACCCATGAGGCAAGGTGAGGGGACTGCCTCATGCGGTAGGATCCACAGAGGCAGCAGATCTGGCCTCCAAGGAATGCATTTGGCCCTCAAAAGGCTACCCAGAAGGAACTGCGGCCCTCGGACAGGAAAAGGTTCCCCACCTCTGGAATCAGTCCTGTGACCTGGCAGTAGCTAGATTCCAAGGGAGTGTGTCATTGGCAGAAAGGAAGAACAGGATCCAGTGTCGCCTTTATGTGTGTGTGTGTGTGTGTGTGTGTGTGTGTGTGTGTGTTAAGAGTGGCAAATTTAATGTCATGCCTGAAGGAAGCCAGGAAGAAAAACCAGTGGAGGGAGAGGCAAATGCATGTGAGGGTGTAATTACATTGGGATGGGGGGTGGGATTTCTCCTCCTCCTCTAACATCAACAAGACTCCAGAAGCCAGCTTTGTCCCTGAGCGGGGAAGATGGAAAACTCTGATGGGCTTGTCCCAGGACACAACAACCAGCCACACCTCTGAAGGGTGAAATCAGCGCTTTCCTGTGCAGCCTTCCAGCTCTTCCTCGTTCCCCCATGCCAGATTCCTCTGCCTTAAAGCAAAGGAGGGGAAGGCGTCGGGAGTTGATTTAGGGTCACGCCAAGGTCACAGAATAAGAGAATCGTAGTGTTGGAAGGGACCCAAAGGGTCCTCTAGTCCAACCCCCTGCCATGCAGGAATCTCAGCTAAAGCATCCATGACAGATGGCCATCCAACCTCTGCTTAAAAACCTCCAAGGAAGGAGAGTCCACAAACTCCTGAGGGAGAATGCTCCACAGTCAAACAGCTCCTACAGTCTTAAAGTTTTTTCTGTATGTTTAGTCCGAATCTCCTTTCTTGTAACTTGAAGCCATTGGTTCGAGTCCTACCACCCAGAGCAGGACAAAACAAGCTTGTTCCCTCTTCCATGTGGCAGCCCTTGAAATATTTGAAGATGGCTATCATATCTCCTCTTTTCCAGTCTAAACAAAACCAGCTCCTTCAACCGTTCCTCATAAGGCTTTGTTTCAAGACACTTGATCATCTTGGTTGCCCTCCTCCGCACATGGTCCTTCTCACTGTGCGTTCATTATGATTATCACGACGGGCTGGAGGTGGTTGAACGCAACACCGTTCCAGGTTGGCCCATCAAGTCCAGCGTCCTGTTCTCACAGTGGCCGGCCAGATGTCCGCAAGCAGGTCCTGAGACCACCAGCGCTCTGCTCACCTGTCATTCACAGCAACTGTCATTCAGAAGAATGCTGCTCTGATGGCAGAGGTGGAGCACAGCCATGGTGGCCCATAGCCGAGACCTCCTCAACCACAGAGTTGCTGATCACACGGCCAGGTGGTGGGCAGCCAAATCTCAGCATGGGTGCAGGTCCCCCAACTGATGGGAGCTTACAGGCAATATCTCGAAAAGTTGAGAGCTCTCCTTCATGGGAGGTTTTTAAAGAGAGGTTGGCTGGCCACCTGCCAAGGATTCCTTATCTGTCATCCCTGAACTGAAGGGGGTTGGACTAGATGACTCTTGGGGTCCCTTCCATCTCTCCACTTCTATGATGCCATTAATACAGCTGGTTGCCTATAGCCAGAGCAGCGAATTTTGGCCACATCCAACCGCCACACTGAGCTCAGCGTGGCTTCTGTTATCCCACAGCACCCTCTGCTGTTTGCAAGAGGCCAAGCAGGCAGACTTTATTTATTTTTTTACAGATGATTATGATGATGGTGATGACAATGACTATTTACCCTCCATTCACCCTAAGTCCCAGGGCGGGTTGCAGGAACTGTTAAAAACACATACTCAGGAGGTTGTCTTATCAACTCGTGACCATTAATCCATCCAGCTCAGTACAGTGGTACCTCGGGTTAAGAACTTAATTCATTCTGGAGGTTCATTCTTAACCTGAAACAGTTCTTAACCTGAGGTACCGCTTTAGCTAATGGGGCCTCCCGCTGCTGCCGCCGCACAATTTCTGTTCTCATCCTGAAGCAAAGTTCTTAACCCAAGGTACTATTTCTAGGTTAGCGGCGTCTGTAACCTGAAGCGTCTGTAACCCGAGGTACCACTGTACTGTCAATACTGACTGGTGGTGGCTCTCTAAGATATCAGACCAGGCTCTCATCCAGCCCAGCCTGGAAACAACAGGAGTTGAACCTGGTACCTTCTGTATGCAAAGGAGTTGCTCAGCTGCTGAGCAACAGCCATTCCCTGTGCAGTGAGAAGCCATCAAATTAGGTCTCTCCCCCTGCCCCCAACACACACATACACACTTCCAAAATGACAGACAGGTTTGCAAGACTTGCAGTTGCGATCAGAGTTTGCTGTACACTCTTTTTACAGCTGTTGAAGAAACTGAGAGGCAGATGAGAATTCGTAAAGGAACGTCAACAAGCTGCGAGATTTCCACGCACCCCTAACAGGAGGGTCCTGTCAGCCGTTCTAGCATATACTAGAAGCTATAAGCAGATCAGTGAAGCCAAGAAGCTTTTCCCACCCTACTTTCCACTCCAGTTTCACCTTTTCTGAGAAAAGGCGAGTAAAAGGAGATTGCTAGAGGTGTATAAAAATTACGCCTAAAGAAAGTGGCTAATGGGAAGTGCTTCCTTCCCTCTCCCATAACACTGGAACTCACAGACAGCCAATGAAGCTCAAGGTTCATTGTTAGACGATTCGGGACAGATAAACGAGAGAGGATTTCTTCATGCAATGCATAGTTAAACTGTGAAACTCACTCCCACAGGAGGCAGTGCCAGAGGACAGTGCCATGGCTGGCTACTAGCCACGATGTCTATGCTCTTCCTCCACGATCAGAGGCAGTAATGTCTCTGAATGCCAGTTGCCGCGAATCACAGGTGGAGAGAGGGCTCTTGCGCTCAGGTCCTGCTTGTGGGCTTTCCATGGAGACATCTGGTTGCCCACTTTAAGAGGAGGGTCACTGAACTAGATGGGCTATTGGACTGATCTAGCAGGCTCGTCTTATGTTCCTATGCTCTTCCGGACAACCAGAGCTGCGTGCCCGTGGTGGACACCTAGCTAAACTGCAGAACTTCTTCCCACAGGAGGCAGTGACGGTCACCAATTTAGATGGCTTTAAAAGAGGATTGGGAAAATTCAAGGAAGAGGAGGAGGCTACTGGGGGAAGGTATTAGCCATGATAAAGGCATTGCTTCCATATACCAGCTGCTGGAGGGGAGAGCGCTGTTGTGCTCAGGTCAGTGTGGTACTTGTGAGACCAAGATGCTGGACTAGATGGGCCATTGGAGATAAGGTCCTGAAGCCTGGGGTTAGAATATATATATACTGTATACCTGAAGGAGCGTCACCACCCCCATCATCCAGCCCGGACACTGAAGTTCAGCTCCGAGGGCCTTCTGGCGGTTCCCTCACTGTGAGAAGTGAGGTTACAGGGAACCAGGCAGAGGGCCTTCTCGGTAGTGGCGCCTACCCTGTGGAACGCCCTCCCAGCAGATGTCAAGGCAATAAACAACTATTTTACTTTTAAAAGACAACTGAAGGCAGCCCTGTTTTGGGAAGTTTTTAATGTCTGATGCTGTATTGTGTTTAATATTCAGTTGGAAGCCACCCAGAGTGGCTGGGGAAACCCAACCAGATGGGCGCGGTATAAATAATAAATTATTATCATCATCATCATCATCATCATCATCATTATATAATAATCTAACTGGGAGGGCCCCAAGGTTCTCCACTGAAAGTTAGACACCCAGTCATCAGCAAGGGAGGGAGGGAGAGCACACCTTCGCACCTGATTTATGGACGCTCCGGAGGCAGGAGAGGGAGGCGTTGAGCCTTGCGCATTCTTCCTGGTTGGCCCCAAACTTCTTCACCGTCATGCAGACCTGCTCGTCCGTCATCTCCAGAAGGTCCTCCAGGTTCAACTGGCCAGGAGTGATTTCCTAGATGGAGGGAGGGGGAAGGCAAGTGTCATAAGAAGGAGGAAGAGTGTCTCATCAGGCCAAGCGAATCTGCCAGAGATCAACAACTCAATCGCATCCTCCTGAAATGTAAAGGGTTGCAGCCAAATAAATCCTACTCAGAAAAGACCCGCTGGGATTAATGGTCCTGTTTGAATCAGGTTCCTTCATTCCAATGGGTTTGTTGAGAGGAGGACAAATTTTGGGTGCAATTTCTTATATGAATATTGAGGCAGACAGGTGCTCTGTGTCACCGGCATAAGCGAATGTCTGGCTCTTCTAAGGCTTTATAGAACCTCTATTATCGATCCTGTGGAACTCACAGGTGGAGAAAACTCTCATTTTTACATACCTTTGTTATTAGTAAAGGGAACCTTTGAATGAGTTAACACTTTATTATCCCTTTGGAGCCTCACTGTATTTTTGGACTTTTGTCCTTCCAGGCTGTGTCGCTTTATGGTTTACATTTTTTTAATCTTTGCTTTTTGTTTTGTAGGCACAAAACCAGGCAAAAATTAAATGGTAGTATTGGATACAACCCAGGGCAAACAGGGCACTGCCCCATCAAGTTCGGCCTGCCCTTAGCCAGTCCCTACCTGCCTGCCTGACTTCTTCTTTACAGAACATCCAGGGCAGGGACCTTGCCTGGCAGCTTCCTCCCCACTCCACTCCCCACCCCATCTCAGTGCTACCCCAGCAGGGAGGATGGGATCAAAACTGGAATTAAATTGGCCTTTGTCTTTAGTGCCACCTACTGTTGGTCTAAGGGATGCGGGTGGCGCTGTGGTCTAAACCACTGAGCCTCTTGGGCTTGCCGATCAGAAGGTCGGCGGTTCGAATCCCCGTGACGGGGTGAGCTCCCGTTGCTTGGTCCCTGCTCCTGCCAACCTAGCAGTTTGAAAGCATGTCAAGGTGCAAGTAGATAAATAGGTACCGCTCTGGCGGGAAAGTAAACGGCGTTTCCGTGCGCTGCTCTGGTTCGCCAGAAGCGGCTTAGTCTTGCTGGCCACATGACCCGGAAGCTGTACGCCGGCTCCCTCGGCCAATAAAGCGAGATGAGCGCCGCAACCCCAGAGTCGGCCGCGACTGGACCTAATGGTCAGGGGTCCCTTTACCTTTACTTTTACTGTTGGTCTCCATGCCTAGCACCCTACCAGCTCCAAGAGGCACCTGCTCCCAATGACTGCTACTACTAACACAAGGCTTTCCTTAAGGGGTGAACCAGTTATATATATTGGTCTATTGATTTGATTTAAGACATGCTTATGAATGCAATTGTATTCTTGATTTTTAAGATGTTCACCACTGGTTTTTTTTTTCTCTCTCTCTTAACGCTAGCAGTCTAGACATCTTTGCAAATAAATAAACAAATAACGAGGAAGAGCCTTGCTGCTGGTTCTTTCTTTTTTCTTCTTTTTTGAGTTTATGCTTTATTTTACACATCAACAAAAAACAAACAAAAGAAAATCTTACATTTACATCACCCGCCACCTCAAATACAAAATAAACGAAAAAGTAAATTCTTATGTTTTGTCATTAAATCTTCTTTAGTGAGTATAACAGACCCTCTGAGTGCCCCTGTTTTTCAGGGACATTCCCAGAATTACAGAAGCCATCCCAGCTTCTGACTTGATCCCAGAATGTTCCACTTTTCCTTAGGACATCCCTATTTTCATCGGAGAAATGTTGGAGGGTATGGAGTTATGAGACCCGCAAGCTAAGGAGATAACAACCTTTAGAAGATATTTGAAGGCAGCGCTCTACAGGGAAGTTTTTTTTAATGTTCTATTGTGTTTTTATATATGTTGGAAGCTGCCCAGAGTGGCTGGGGCAACCCAGTCAGCTGGCCAGGGTATAAATAATAAAATTATTACTATTATTATTATTACAGTCAAACCTCAGTTGTCGAACATAATCCATTCTGGAAGTCCGTTCAGCTTCTGAAATGTTCAACAACCGAGGCACGGCTTCTGATCAGTTGCAGGAGCTTTCTGCTCTCAAGTGGAAGCCATGTCAGACGTTCAGTTTCCGAAAAACGTTCAAAAACCGGAGCATTTACTTCCGTGTTTTTTGGCATTCGGGAGCCAAAACACTCCAAAACGAAGGTGTTCGTGATCCGAGGTTTGACTGTATTATTATTACAGTCATACCTCGGGTTACAGATGCTTCAGGTTGCGTTTTTTCAGGTTACGGAACCACCGAAACCTGGAAGTACCGGAACTGGTTACTTCCGGGTTTCGTGGGTCGTGCATGCACAGAAGCGCTATATCGCGCTTTGCACATGCGCAGAAGAACTGAATCGCAACCCACACGTGCGCAGACACGCCGCTGCAGGTTGCAAACGCTGCAGGTTGCGAACGTGCATCCCGCATGGATCACGTTCACAACCTGAGCGTCCACTGTATTATTATTATTATTATTATTATTATTATTATTATTATTATTAAATAGGATGTCCCTGTTTTTATTGGAGAAATGTTGGGGAGTATAAACATGCTGCTTTTCTCTCCTCCCTGGATCTTAAAATGTTTTAATCCGCACTACACATTTAAAGCAGTGTCATACCATTTTAAATAGCCTTGGCTTCCTCCCAAGGATTCCGGGAGCTGTAGTTTGCTAAGGGTGCTGAGAGTTGCTAGGAGATCTCTGTTTCCCTCACAAGAGCTACAATTCCCAGAGCTCCCTGGAAGAGGGAGAGATTGTTAAGCCACTCTGGGAACTGTAGCTTTGGGAAGGGAACAGGGTGTGGGGAGTCTCCTAGCAACACTTAGCATGTGTAACAAACTACAGCTCCCGGGATTCTCTGAGGGAACCCAGGGCTGCTTTCAGGGGTACAGCGCCGCTTTAAACGTGCGCTGCAGATGGAGCCAAGGCAAGTAACAGATTCAATATTTATGAAGTTTCTATTCCTAGAAATAGCCAAGGGCCAGCAATCCCATGGAAATGGTCGGTGCGCCTTTGCACCTCGGGGCAATTTAAGGCGCTGCGGGGGTGGGCAAGATCGCTCCCAGGTACTGGGCTCTCCGAGAGACTTTTGCAAGAAGGCAAGAAGGTATTAACGAGTTGCATTTCTGAATGTGACATCGAGCCGTTCAGTCACTTGCTCGGTTGCCAAGGGCAACTGGGAGTTTTCTCTGGGTAGCAAAGATTACCTGGTGACATCGCAAACAGCTCTCCTGCGAAATAAGCGTAACCTCGCCCTATGGGGCTCCTGTGGGGCTCAGGCAGAGTGGTGGTTTCACATATTTGAACTGCAGATATTGATTGAAAATGTACTGCATTGTAACTTTTGAATAAATGTTTTTTAAAGAGAGAGAGAGAGATTTGAACTGAACAAAAGATCTTTCGTTGAAACCGCAATTATACAGAACAATGCAAAGATTCCAACTAAACGCAAAGGAGATTCCGACTAAACATCAGGAAGAACTTTCTGACAGTAAGATCTGTTCGACAGTGGAAAGGTCTCCCTCGGGAGGTGGTGGACTCTCCTTCTTTGGAGGGTTTAAGCAGAGGTCAGATGGCCACCTGTAACGTATGGTCTAGTTGAGATTCCTGAATTATAGGGGGTTGGGCTAGATGACCCTTGGGGTCCCTTCCAACTCTACAATTCTATGATTCTAAGAGGCCCCATTGCAGTTCAAGGACACATTTGAGCCATTAACTGTGCATATTAAATAAATTAACTATACTGCGAACAGCTTCGATTTACAATACGGAAATTAAAATTCAGTGTGCAGCCCCTGGGGTCTCTGTGTTGTTGTTTTTACTATTAATAATAATATTTTATTAAGAAAAAATTATCTATAAAAAGATAGAGTGGGGGGGGGAGAAAGAAAGAAGTGAATGAGATTGGGGGAAAAAGAAACAATACTATCTGTGTCGAAGGACTCTTGCAGCCTGCCTGGTCGGAGAGGTTGGACTGCCCAACCCTAAAAGACAAAGCAGGGCTAAAGAGGGGCAGGACCTGGGCAGAGTCCCAAGGGCCAGATGAAAATGCCTGGAGGGTCACCATTGGTCCATTGAGCTCAGGACTGTCTGCACAGACTTGCAGCAAAGTTACAGACAAGGGTCTCTCTGTCAGCCCTGGCAGGAGATGCCTGGGAAATTCTGCGTGCAAACAGATGGTCTTCTGCTGAGCTGCGGCTCTTGGTGTTTCCTGGGTATTATCAGAAGCGGTTTATAGTTTCAAGATTTGCTTACCACAGGTAAAAGACTAGGCAGGCCGGGTCATGCAGTGGTACCTCAGGTTACATGCGCTTCAGGTTACAGACTCCGCTAACCCAGAAATAGTGCTTCAGTTTAAGGACTTTGCTTCAGGATAAGAACAGAAATCGTGCTCTGGCGGTGCGGCGGCAGCAGGAGGCCCCATTAGCTAAAGTGGTGCTTCAGGTTAAGAACGGACCTCCGGAACAAATTAAGTACTTAACCCGAGGTACCACTGTACCTGCTGGGATTGACAAGGCATCTGACCCTCACCTGAATCTCACCTGAATCTCTTTGTCTTGTCTTCTAGGGTCGGGCCATCCAATCTGAAGAAGTGTGCATGCACACGAAAGCTCATACCAAGAACTAACTTAGTTGGTCTTTAAGGTGCTACTGGAAGGAATTTTTTTTGTTTTGACTATGGCAGACCAACACGGCTACCTATCTGTAACTGAATCTCATAGCTCTCCTGTAGCTGCCTCTGATTAGTTATCATTTAACTCTTGGGGGAACTAATTAGCATCACACGTCATGTGCATGGAAGTTGCCGAACCAATTAACCAACTAGAAGGATTACTGTAAATAGCACCAGTTTTCCTATAACTTGATATTGCTGGATACTTTCAAGGGTAGAGCATCTGCCTTGCTCACAGAAGGTCCCGTTCAACTCTCAGCATCTTCTGTTAGGGCTAGGAATGTCCCTTGCCCCAAACCCTGGAGAACCGCTGCTGCCGGTCAGAGTTGCCTGTATTGAGCTAGATGGACCAAGGGCCTGGCTAAGGCAGCTTCTTGTGGTCCTATGTCGCTTTTCAGATTTTACACTGAGAAAGTGACCCAACATAAAAAGAAAAATCCAATTCTATTTCTCATTTTGCTCCCTTTGATGCTAAAAAAAAAGGAGGTGTTTTAGTCAGGAGCTGCCAGCTAAGCCTATGCATATGAGCTAGATCAGGGGCGTCCAACTTCCAAGAGTCTGTATTAAAAAAACTGGCAGTGATCTACCCATTGTCGGAGTTGTTGAGCTTTATTTAGGAAGCCAAAGTTGTTTTTCCTCGTGGAAAAAGACTCACAGAGTTGAGCAATGCTGCCCTCTTGTGGACCTGTGGAGACAAAGTCCAAAGAAGTGTGGCCGCACTTTTAACTTTTCAGGGTCTGAAATTGGAAGGAGAGTGCAGCTTATATTTGGGAGTGCTTCCTTTTATTTGTCTCTTACCTTAAAAGAGGGATTTGATCAGAGAATATATAAAAGTAATAAAACCGACAATCATTTTGATGAAGTGGATACAGCACTAGTACACTCAAGCACCAGTAATCAACGGCCGGTTGTCATCTGTCGAGCAAGCTTCAAATGATAAGGGGACAGAGAGAAGTGTGACTAGCCCAAGGTCACCCAGCAGCTGCATGTGGAGGAGCGGGGAAGCGAACCCAGTTCCCCAGATTACGAGACTACCGCTCTTAACCACTACACCACACTGGTAGATGATGATGCTGCCATAGGTGGGTTCTGCTGAGTCATTGTATATTCATATCTCAAAAACTGCTTCCTGGGAGAGTCAGCAGAAATTGTAGTTTGGAAAAGAGTCAGGAGTTGCCAACCGACCATATCTTGGCCTCCTTTCGTGCCTTTCAAAAAGGACCAGCCTGTGGAGATCTGCCAGTGAAATACGTTATTTGCATGGATTTAAACATGATCATGTACTCATTACTGGAGATCAAACTACTGTTAGAGCAGGCATAGGGAAACTCGGCCCTCCAGATGTTTTGGGGTTACAGTTCCCATCATCCCTGACCACTGGTCCTGTTAGCTAGGGATCATGGGAGTTGTAGTCCCAAACATATGGAGGGCCGAGTTTGCCTATGCCTGTGTTAGAGTTATAACTACAAGGCCCCTGGTTCAAAATACGGGAATCCTAGGAACGGTTCTTTGTAACCACATACCACATTGTGAATTTTGGCCCTAATGAAGTTTTTATGTTACAAAAAGAAAAAGAAGTGAAGTGTAAAAGTCAGCAATATGATAGACTTTTAGCCTGCCAGGCCTTTTTATATGGATGCTTTGGGCTGAATGATAGAATAAGGGTGATGGGATCCGGTTGGGGTCCGTGTTCCTACTTCTTCCTTCCATGCTTTAAGCATGGACTATGTGGACCTGTTTAGTGTCGTGGGAATTTTCCTTAGTTTGTTTTGGAGCAACAGGTAGTGAAGATGTTTCTGATTTTATCTATCTCCATGTGCACCCATTGTTTACCCCCCCCCCCCCGCATCTCCCTCTCTTTCCCCTCCAACCACATGATGTCTATCGACAATAGCGTCTCATAAAGCAACTCTATGAATCGAAAGGGGAGACGCTAGATGTATTTTCCCTTGTTTATTTGGCTGTTTTGTAACGCAATGCAATATTTAATACAGTGGTGCCTTGGTTGTCGAAGGTAATCCGTTCTGGAAGACTGTTCGTCTTCCGAAATGTTCGAAAACCGAGGCGCAAAGGGCAGTCTGCAAAGTCAGTGGATAAAGGGGGGGCAGGACACACACTCAGCAGAAGCTGTTTGACTTCCAAGGCGCATTTGAAAACAGAAGCATTTACTTCCAAGTTTTCGGCATTCGAAAAACGAAAGGTTCGGCTTCCGAGATATTCGACAACCAAGGTACCACTGTAAAAACTTTTTTTAAAAAGTGAATAAGCATAAGTGAAGTGAAGGTTTGCAGAGAACCTCAGTTTCTCAGTGTGCTTTCAACTGCCTCTGCTTTAGGTAAAGGTAAAGGGACCCTGACCATTAGGTCCAGTCGTGGCCAACTCTGGGGTTGCGGCGCTCATCTCACTTTATTGGCCAAGGGAGCTGGCATACAGGTTCTGGGTCATGTGGCCAGCATGACTAAACCGCTTCTGGCGAACCAGAGCAGCGTGCGGAAACGCCATTTACCTTCCCGCCGGAGTGGAACCTATTTATCTACTTGCACTTTGACGTGCTTTCGAACTGCTAGGTTGGCAGGAGCAGGGACCGAGCAACGGGAGCTCACCCCGTCGCAGGGATTCGAACTGCCGACCTTTTGATCAGCAAGTCCTAGGCTCTGTGGTTTAACCCACATCACCACCCACGTCCCCCGCCTCTGCTTTACATCACCTAATTAACTAACTAAACTAATTAAAACACCTCAGCACTGTGACCTCACAGCACATGATTCTTCCACTGTGCTTCTTAGCGACCCCAGTTTGGTCCCCGTCTTATTGCACTTTCTCCAAAAAGGAACGATTCGTAGAGCACCATCAAAGGCACACAGAACAGAGGAAAGGGAGGAGGGGGGCTGGAGGGACAAGAAGCTGGAAGAGGGAGGCCTGGGAAGAGGCAGGGGCCAACACCTCCGAGACCCCGTGCGCAGCTCACCTCCATGACCTCCTTGCGGACGTTGACGATGCGGAACCAGTGCAGGAGCTGCGGGAAGCCCTCGAGCTTGGCATTGCGTTCCTGGAGAGCCACTTTCCTCTTGCACGAGAGCTGGCGGCTGAAGTACTTCACCAGTTTGCTCTGGAAAACAGAAAGGGTTGGGAAGAGACAGGAGGTAAGCGGAGTCAAGGCAGCTTTCTGTCAGGAGATCCCGCCCACCCCCTAGGCATGTTACCCCCTCCTCTCCCCACCATGCTCCCTTCCACACCCTCTAGCAGTTTGCGGCCTGGCCCCCAATGAATCACACCTGTGGGTGTCGCCACCATTTATTTACTGTATTTTTTGCTCTATAAGACTAACTTTTCCCCTCCTAAAAAGTAAGGGGAAATGTGTGTGCATCTTATGGAGTGAATGCAGGCTGCACACCTATCCCAGAAGCCAGAACAGCAAGAGGGATCACTGCTTTCACTGCGCAGCGATCCCTCTTGTTGTTCTGGCTTCTGAGATTCAGAATATATTTTTTATTGTTTTTCTCCTCCCAAAACTAGGTGCGTCTTATGGTCTGGTGCGTCCTATAGAGCGAAAAATGCGGTATTTATTTCAAATGTTTTCCATAAATAAATAAAAGTGGTACACAGGGGTATATTGCCACTGACAGTGGGGGCAGAACCCAAAGTGGTTACGAGGAGAGTCATGGAACTATAGAATTGTAGGGTTGGAAGGACTAGTCCAAGTCCCTGCAATTCGGGAATCTTTTGCCCAAGGTGAGACTCGAACCCGCGACCCTGGAATTAAGAGTCAATCATACACCACACACTTATTTTATTTCCCATGGAAACGGAAGCATATATTTCATTCTTGGTAATTTTGCTCAAGTTTACCACACCACTTTCTTCATAGGCTTCTTTCTTTCCTTTTCTTTTACAAAGATTTTTTTTTTAGATCAAAAATAAAAAAGAACTCAGAAAGCCCAACAGGTAAACGCAAATAAGATCCAGGCACAACAGAGTTACAAACCCTGTGTTCCAGTTATTTCAAATCTCAGAGATCCCCTTTCATAATGCAATAATGATATTATTATTATTATTATTATTATTATTAATTATTATTATTATTATTATTATTATTGCAAAAGGATTTATGGGGGGAAAAACACTTCCTGGTCACTGTCATTTTCGAAGCAGACTGAAAAGGGTATTTCGTTTTGTTGTTGTTAAGCCAGCCTATTGCACAAAGGCAAAAAATTGCCCTCATCACTCTAACTCCTTTTGCTATTGGCCAAGCCCATCGCTGGCATGCAGGCTCACAGAGTTGACCAAAACTTACATAAGTTTGTAAAAGGAGCCTGCTGGATCCAGCCAATGGCCTGTCTAGTCCAGCATCCTGTTCTCCCAGTGTCCAACCAGATGCCCCAATAGGAAACCCTGAAAACAGGACCCAAACACAAGAACACTCTTCCCTCCTGCGGTTTCCAGCTACGGATATTCAGAAGCGTTGTTGCCTCTGATAGTGGAGGTATAGAGCATAGCCTTTTCCTCCAGGCAGCTAGACTGGTGACTGGGAGCAGCCGCCAAGACCACATAACACCGGTCTTGAAAGACCTACACTGGCTCCCAGTACGTTTCCGAGCAGAATTCAAAGTGTTGGTGCTGACCTTTAAAGCCCTAAACAGCCTCGGCCCAGTATATCTGAAGGAGCGTCTCCATCCCCATCGTTCAGCCCAGACACTGAGGTCCAGCTCTGAGGGCCTTCTGGCGGTTCCCTCACTGCGAGAAGCAGAGGTTACAGGGAACCAGGCAGAGGGCCTTCTCGGTAGTGGCACCCGCCCTGTGGAATGCCCTCCCACCAGATGTCAAAGAGAACAACAACTACCAGACTTTTAGAAGATATCTGAAGGCATCCCTGTTTAGGGAAGCTTTTAATGTTTGATGCATTGCTGTATTTTAATATTGTGTTGGAAGCCGCCCAGAGTGGCTGGGGAAGCCCAGCCAGATGGGCGGGGTATAAATAATGTATTATTATTATTATTATTATTAGTCCAATCCCTCATTTAAAGCCAGCCAAATTGGTGGCCATCAGTGTGTCCTGCAGCAGCAAGTTCCACAGTTTCACAACATGCCGCACACATGGATAAGTCCTTTCTTTTATCTGCCCTTAAACCTCCAGCATTCAGCTTGTCCACAGTCCAAGTGCTATGAGAGGGGAAGAAAAACTTCTCTCCATGCTGGGCATCATGAACCCGTCAACGGCGTCCCTGCTAAATTGCAGCTTGCCATTCCTGACACAAGGTGGCACTGTGTTATATATCCAGGGGTGTCTGCCTCTTCATCCTTTTTCGTAGCCTTGCTGGTTCTTCCGCTGCAGAGACACCAAAGGGTGTCTCGTAGCAGCGCCCCAAAAGATAGATAAAACTTTATTTGCATTAGCCAATGGCCATAGCAACAGTAAAACATTACAGTATACGCAGAAAAGGAAATTTGATATAAGAGCACAATTTAAAGTCCTGAATCAGCCGTCAGTTAGTGGCCCTTATTCTGATTGCCCCTGCTATGAACCTAGCAACCTTTGCTGTTATCTGCTCATTTTTATCTGATAGAAGAAAGGACATTGTTGCAGTGGCTGAGCGCCCTCGGATGGTTAGTACGAGTGGGGTGATGATCTCATTCCTCAGGTCTTTGTAGAGAGTACAGTGGTACCTCGGGTTAAGCACTTAATTCGTTCCGGAGGTCCATTCTTAATCTGAAACTGTTTGTAACCTGAAGCACCACTTTAGCTAATGGGGCCTCCCGCTGCCGTCATGCCACTGGCGCACGATTTCTGTTCTCATCCTGAAGCAAAGTTCTTAACCCGAGGTACTATTTCCAAGTTAGCGGAGTCTGTAACCTGAAGCGTATGTAACCTGAAGTGTATGTAACCCAAGGTACCACCATACAAGACAGGAGGATGTGTGCACCCCAAAAGAATAACTGTCAGGTTGTGGGCCAGATACGACTTCACCAGGTGTGTATTGGCAGATGCTGACACAGGGATGAGGAACTTCAGGCCTGGGGTGGGGTGGGGGGGATGTGAATGTGGCCCTCCAGTACTCTCTGCTCGGACCTCAGGACTCTTCCCCGGCCACAACTTTCACTGGTGCTGCTCAGAGTCTTTGCCTGGCTGAAATGTGCCCCATGAACTGTGATAACGCCTCCTGCTTCCCTGGATGGAGGAGGGAGAGAGGTTTTCCTTTGTGAGGTAAATTATCTGTAGGAACCTCTGGTTTCTGTGTGGCTTGAATGTCACCTATGGTACAAAAGGTCAAGGGTTGTGTCCATTGTTCTGCCAGGCAAACGGAGCACTGCTCTGACAATCTCTTTTTCTTTTTTTTAATATACAGTGGTACCTCGGGTTAAGTACTTAATTCATTCTGGAGGTCCGTTCTTAACCTGAAACTGTTCTTAACCTGAAGCACCACTTTAGCTAATCGGGCCTCCTGCTGCCGCCGTGCCGCCACTGCACAATTTCTGTTCTCATCCTGAAGCAAAGTTCTTAACCCGAGGTACTATTTCTGCGTTAGCAGAGTTTGTAACCTGAAGCGTCTGTAACCTGAAGCGCATGTAACCCGAGGTACCACTGTATTTTTATTGAGTTTTACATAAAAAATTAAAATTCAAACAAAACATCCACCTCATTGTTTAGGATTCCCTGAATCCTTCGACTCCCCTCCGCCCTTCCAGGGTTACCATTATCAATATTTTCCCCCCATTACTTTCTCTCTTTTTTTTAAACAAGAAATAATTCATTTTTACCACAGTTCTTTGTACATTACAAGCATTACTCAAATCCTGCCAAAGTTTTTCGTTGTTTACAGTGTTCTCTTAAATCAGGGGTCAGCAAACTTTTTCAGCCATGGGCAAGTCCACTGTCCCTCAGACCTTGTGGGGGGCTGGACTATATTTTGAAAAAAATAATAATGAATGAATTCCTATGCCCCACAAATCACCCAGAGATGCATTTTAAATAAAAAGAAACATTCTACTCATGTAAAAACACGCTGATTCCCGGACCGTCTGCAGGCTGGATTGAGAAGGCGATTGGGCCACATCTGGCCCCCGGGCCTTAGGTTGCCTACCCCTGGTCTAAGCTATTTAAGGTAAAGGTAAAGGTACCCCTGCCCGTACGGGCCAGTCTTGACGGACTCTAGGGTTGTGCGCTCATCTCACTCTATAGGCCGGGAGCCAGCGCTGTCCGAAGACACTTCCGGGTCACGTGGCCAGTGTGACAAGCTGCATCTGGCGAGCCAGCGCAGCACACGGAAACACCGTTTACCTTCCCGCTGGTAAGCGGTCCCTATTTATCTACTTGCACCTGGGGTGCTTTCGAACTGCTAGGTTGGCAGGCGCTGGGACCGAACGACGGGAGCGCACCCCGCCGCGGGGATTCGAACCGCCGACCATGCGATTGGCAAGTCCTAGGCACTGAGGTTTTACCCACAGCGCCACCCGCGTCCCTCTAAGCTATTTACATGTGGAAAATTACCCCAGTACTTGGGCCTCATTCCAGTATACATGAAGGAGCGTCTCCACCCCCATCATTCAGCCTGGACACTGAGGTCCAGCTCCGAGGGCCTTCCGGCGGTTCCCTCACTGCAAGAAGTGAGGTTACAGGGAACCAGGCAGAGGGCCTTCTCGGTACTGGTGCCTGCCCTGTGGAATGCCGTCCCATTAGATATAAACCAACTATCTGACTTCTAGAAAACATCTGAAGGCAGGCCTGTTTTGGGAAGTTTTTAATGTTTGATCTTTTATTGTATTTTTAATATCCTGTTGGAAGCCGCCCAGAGGGGGCAGGGTATATGTCGTTGTTGTTGTTGTTGTTGTTGTTGTTGTTGTTGTTGTTGTTGTTGTTGTTGTTAAGCACTGCTCCATCAGAGGGGGAAGTCCTGCCACGCCACCAACCTCAGAGGATAAGTCTACTGCAGTATGTTCATTTCCCAAACCTTGCTGAAGCCACAGACTGCAAAATCAGGCAGTGCCTCTGTTGCAATCCAGAGATATGGAGCAGACAACACTCCTGGCCTTCAGACTACATGGAGTTTTGGCTACCTTCAGCTCCTTGCTTAGATAACATCTCTGGCAGTGGGGTGCCAGTCTGCTGGGCTC